TAACAAGCCCTTTTCAGTTTGCTTTTTTTCTTAATAGACTTTATTTTTTTAATAGTTTTAAATTTACAGAAAAATGGAGGAGATAGTACAAAGTTCCTATATACCCTGCACCCAGTTTCCCGTTATTAACATCTTACATTAATATGGTACATTTATTACACTTAATAACCAATATTGAGCCATTATTAACTAAAGTCAAAGTTTATTCAGACTTTCTTTAACCTAATGCCTTTTTCTCTTCCAGGATCCCATCCAGGACATCATATTCCATTTAGTTGTCCTGTTCCCTTAGGCTCCTCTTGACTGTGGGAGTTTCCCAGACTTTTTTTTTTTATCCTCACCTGAGGACATTTTTTCCATTTTTTTGTTCAGATAGAGCAGGAGGGAGAGAGAGGAAGAGAGAGAGAGAGAAACATCAATGTGAAGGGACACACTGAGTGGCTGCCACCCGCACGACCAACCAGGGCCGGGGACAAACTGCAACCAAGGTACGTGCCCTTAGCGGAAACCGAACCCGGGTCTCTCTGTACCGCAGGCCAACGCTCCAACCGCTGAGCTAAACCGGCCAGGGCTCCCAGACTTTTTTTGTTTTTGATGACCTTGAGAGTTTTGAAGTGGGCTAGTCAAGTGTTTGGTAGGATACCTCTGTAATGGAATGTGTAATTTGTATGATAATTTTTTTCTCATTATTATACTGAGGTTATGGTTTTTGGGAATATCATAGAAGGACAGTACCACTGTCATCAGATCATGTCAAGGTTACAATCCATTAACATGATTTTTTACTGAGCTCAGGTCACGAGGTAAGTTGGTGGCTCATGGATAAGCATTCAGTCTCTACTAAGGTCCAGTAGCCAAAAGCTGTTTCTCAAAAGTAGAGTATTTTATCCAAAGAGGATGGCAGTACTTTTCTCCAAAATCCTATTTGCATTGTGATTAACTTACAGGTGCCTGTCAGTCTACAAACAGCAGCTGCAGGCGCCACTGCCACTTCAAGCGCTGCTAAATTTGCTCGATTATGTGGTCCAAGTGGCAGAGCAGCCTAGACCTGTTGTGCCTCTTCTTAAGTAGTAGGAGGGGCCAGATGGAACAACTTACCCCTTTCCTTGATACACCCCACACCACTGGACCCCTAGAAATTCCACTGAGTTAGAAAGCCCTTGAATTTTAGGGGATTTGTTTCCCATCCTCTAGTATGCAAATATCTTACCAATGTGTGTACAGTAATTGCTAATTTCTGTCTATCAGGACAAATCAGCACATCATGATCAGAGATCATGTAAGAGACTAGTGTGATGTTCTGTGGAAAGGGAAGAGGAAAGGGATGGAGATCCCTGCAAATTAAATTATGATGTAGGGCTGAAGACTTGCTCTGTCCTGTGTTTGGACAGTGAGAATGTATTGCTGGACTTGCCCGTTGAATTAAATTGCTCTGGCAGTCTTTTTCTACAAGCACAGAGGGAAAAAGCATTTTGCCAGATCAATAGCTATATACCAAGTACTGGGAAATGTGTCAATTTGCTCAAGCAATGAAACCACATCTGGAAAAGCAGTGCAACTGGAATCACCACAGAATCATATTTACAAAACCCCACTGTCATTATCCAAGATCCAGCTGTCTTCTGTACATGAGAAAGAGGTGAGCTGGAAAGGGGTGTGGTGTATTACAACCTCTAAAACTTTGCAGTCCTTGATGGTGGCGCTAATCTTTACAATTCCTCCAAGAATGTGGTATTGCTTTTGGTTTACTTTTTTTTTTAATCCTCACCAGAGGATATTTTTCCATTTATTTTCAGATAGAATGTGAGGGAGGGAGGGTGGGAGAAAGAGAGAGAGAAACATCAATGTGAGAGAGACACACCAGGGCCGGGGACTGAACTGCAACCCAGGTACAGGCCCTTGACCAGAATCAAAAGTGTGAGTCTTTGGTCCTCGGGCTAATGCTCTAACCACTGGACCAAACCAGGCAGAGATGGTTTACATTTTTATAGGTATAAACAGTTCTAGTGGCTTCCATTTAGCCTTTCCTACCATAACAGCCTTCACTTTATAGGTCAGGGAACCAATGTGGGGATTCTGCTAGTTACTGAACATCTATTTTAATCATGCATTCTAGAATTGGGAAAATAACCACAGGATGTGTTCAGAGACCCACTGGGCCTACTATGAGATGAACCTGAACTAAAACTCCATTGATCTCTTGACCTCCCCAAGTTCCCTACTCTGATACATAGAATGATGTTTTGGGTTTCCATGAATTAGTGTCATGTTAGAGCCATTGTCTACTAATCCCCCCAAAGCCTGATTATTTCCTTTCCCCCAGTGCACAGTGGCCCTAGTGGATGGTCATATGACCCTTTGGGGAAGGCTGGGGAATAGATTAATGATATATATTTTTGGCAGTGTAGCAGGGTACTTTCTCAAGAGGACTTCCCTCCCCTTCATTCAAAGAATTCTGGGTGTGTAAACTGGCTCAAGTCTGCAAACTACAAGTCAGACATTTCTGATTACTGCTTTAGTTCAGCTGTCAATTACAGTGAGCACACTCACCATGTTTTTGTCAATTAAGTACAACCCTTATTCCTGCCACGTTGGGATCCCTTCATTCCCACTGCCTTTAGGAATCCAAGTTTGATGGCAGCAGTTTCCACTTTAAGATATATCTGACTCCAGAGAAGAGCAATTGCATATTTCTTTAAGGATGCTGGGAATCCCCTCACAAATTTATTTCTCACAGTCATGGTGAAGGGTTATGTCTTCTGGCCCCTCCTGAGGTGGGTGAGGTATTACATGAAAAGTCTACTCTAATATTCCAATCTCCCTTTGACTTTGGTAGCTTCCTCTACAGTATCCTAGGCAATTCTGGCACTTCATTTAGTGTAGACACTGTTGGGTGGATGGAAGTTAAGTGATGAAAGGAGTTTTCACTCAGGTCCTTCTTATAGTGGGCCCAGTGTCCTCAAAGCCATCTTGTGGTTAACTTCCCAGTTTCACATCATACATGATAGGAAAAGGCAATCAATCAAACAGTTAAGCTTTTCTAACCCTTTGGGGTAAAATGTATCTAGAATATCTTACTGGGCCCATATCAATAAATGCAGCCTGGTAGTACTTTATAATCTTTCTTCTTGATCCCTGTATTAGATTCCTAGGGATGCTATAGCGAAGTACCATAAACTGAGTGACTTAAAACAACAGAAATTTATTCTCTCACAGATATCTGGAGGCTAGATATTTGAAATCAGTTGTCAGCAGGGCTACGCTTCTTCTAAAGGCCCTTTGGAATAAACTGTCCTTGCCTCTTCCTAGCTCCTACTGGCTCCTGGTATTTCTCAGCTTGTAGCTACATCACTCCAATCTCTGCTTCCGTCTTCACATGTCCTTATTCCTTCTGTGTCCATATATCTCTGCATCCTCTCTTATAAGGACACCAGTCATTAGATTTAGGGCCCTGTCTAATCCAGCATTACCTCATCTTAACTGATTAAATCTGCAAAGACCCTATTTCCCAAAAAGGTCCCATTGAGGCTCCAGGTAGACATGAATTTTGAGGGACACCATTCAACCCAATATAAACCCATACCTTTAATATCCATAAGATACCTAATATATTCTTTTAGTTTTGCTGATTTTTACAATTTAAAATTAAAGGGGAAAAAAAACAGAGTTCTTTTTCTTAAAATGCAAATATTCTTTCCATCCAGTTTCTCACTTTGGTGCCCTGTACCATTTAATCTCCCTACCCTGGTCTCCCAGTCTTGCCCTTTTCCAATCTTTTTTCTAACTGCAAACAAAGTGATCTTCCAAAACAGTCCTTCCTGTCCTTCATTGAGGATGAAGCACAGCTCCCTAATTAGCCTAAGGTGGCTTTTCATGATCTGGTTTACCGTATCCTTCCATGTTTCATCTTTTATTCAAATCCCCTGCTACCTATCTGTGTTGCCCCTGAACACTTGCAGGTTTCTCAACTGCCATGCCATCCCCTCCTTCTATACCCTGGTTCTGCACTTTTTTGTTTGATAATGCCCCTTGCACTCATGGCTGCGGCTCATCTTTAGAGGTTACTCCTCTATCCCCTCCCCAGAGGTGAAACGTTTCATCCTCTGGTCTTTGAAGTCTGTACATATTTTCCTTTTGCTCTTGTCCCTCTAAAATCAAACTTTCTATTTGAAAGAACACCGTCCAAGAACCACACTGATGCGTTTGCTGAACTGTCCAGTAGAAGAGGTTCGCTCTTCCCGCCCTCACGCAGGGGAGGGACTGTAACTCCCAGCCCTTGGACGACAAGCCCGACGCCCCATCGAAGGCCAAAGTCTTCCGAAGTCGGGGGCGGGTGGTGACGGAACTGTCACCCAGGGAAAGCCAGAAAGCCGCGATCACTCAATCTGCCCACATCCCTCTTTATAGTCGAGGAAATGCAGGTCGGCGCAGAGCAACACTCGGAAGCCCAGAGTGACACTGCAATGTGCCCAAATCTGTCAGCGCCTGTACACCTCGGGTCGGGCTTCCTCCTCCTCCTCACCGAGGACCTGTCCCGCTATGCGCCCGGTCCTTTCCCTCCTCTTACGCCCCGCGCTGCCTGCGACATCCACGACAAGGCCCACGACAAGGCCCACGACAAGGCCCACGACAAGGCCCACGACAAGGCCCACGACAAGGAGGGCTCACCACAAGCTCTGCAGCAAACTGACGGCTCGAGGGGGCGGAGCATGCGCCGTGCGTGGCCACGCCGCGTCTGGCGACTCCACGCCGGCAGCTCAGCCCGCGCAGGCGCATGCGCAGGCTCCGCGTTCCTGGACACCCTCTCGCCCTTTCCCCGCCCTCGCGGGCCGCGCCCCCTGGGTGAGGGTCAGAGGCCGCGGGGCGGGCGGCGGTGACGCGCCCGGAAGCGCTCTGTGCACCGTCGGAAGCCGGCGGGCAGTGGAGCGGCGGCGGCCACCGCCGGGCGCCCCAGCGGGAGGGGCTCCGGATCGCCGGAGGCGCTGACCCCTGCGGCGCCGCCGCCGTTGTCGGCGGCCTTATGAGTCGGGGGACCATGCCCCAGCCTGGAGCGTGGCCCGGCGGGAGCTGTGCTGAGAAGCTGGCGCGGGAGGCGGGGGCCGCGTCTCCGGGCCCCATCAGAGCCGCGGCGCGGGAGGGCGGGAAGGCGGAGGCCGGCGGGCAGTCTCTGGCCGCGTTGCGATGCCCGGCCGAGCAGTGAGTCGCGGGGCGCGGCGGGGGTGGGAGGGGGCACCGGCTCGGTCCGGTCGGGAAGGCTGGGCGTGGGGTGGGCTCGGGAGCAGCCGGCGGAGGGCCCTCGTACCCTGGGATCTAAATGAGGTAGTCGGGGCAGAGGAGTTTACGGACGCTTGGACCGCCGTCCGAGTGCAGATGGTTCTCCCGAGGGTTCCTTGTGGTTTTGGTCATCTAGTGCCTCCTCCCCCGATTTTTTGGCTACTGTATCTCCATAACTCTGAAGTTAAGGAACGCTCCAGAAACTTGGGAAACAAACCCGAGAAGCCTATTATAACTAACACCCAGTGGGTTTTCCCCTTCAACCTGGTAGGAAAATGGAGCCACGCGACATGTGTGTTCTTGAAGGCAAGTCCCCGCTTGATGAGCGTCCCACCTGTTGATGGACTGGACGGAGTCCGACCCAATTTAACGGCTTAAGCAGATATCCCCACTGCCCCTTTATTTTTAAATACGGAAGGCAGTGCGGGTTAGATCAATTCCTTGCAGAACTGTGAAGAAGGCGGCATAAATCGGAAGCGTTTATAGTTTCTGCAAGGGCGTGGGGGTGGGGGTGGAAGCAGAATATAAACTTGGAGGCTGAAACTTTTTCCACACTTGCCAATTTATAAGTACATGTAAATGCCTTTGAATTCCCAAATTGAGGAAAGCACCGAGATAGTTTGACAGATAGTGTAATTGGCTGTAAAGTTGAATTGTAAGATGTGTTTAAATGCTGTTTTTTAAAGTTTTGGATTTCCTAAAAATGGGTCTGCTGCAGGTCTCTTATGCAGATAGCATATTAAAATAACTGTCCTTTGCGTGGTTCTTTACCATGGACTATGATATTCTCATTTATTGAGCACCCTTTGGGATGTAATTATCCACACTTAATTCTTACTGGGAAGTATTTAGAGTAGGAAGTCTCAAACACCTGCCCCCAGGAGTGAGGCAGGTAACCTGAGTAAAGCTGGCCAGGTTGGTGTTCCTGGAGAGCTGGACCTGTCCCTGTTGGGGGTAGTCTGCTAAGTTTCAGCCTATTGTGGCTGGCTTTTCTATATTAAAAAAAAAAAAAATTTAGATATCTGACTTTTGTATGAAATGTCCTGATTTTTTAATAGAATTTTATTTTATATTGTAATTGAAACCACCAAGCGGGCCCACGACTTGTGGCTTCAATTTTGCTCCATAAGTTGGAGACCTACCTCAGAGTTTGCAATGGTAAAATAGGAGTGTCTTCTGCCTCTGCCCCTCCCCTCCATAGCCCATGTGGGTTTCTAACTGCTACTACTTCACTTCTGCCCCCACCTAATGGCCTCGGCCCTCAGATGCTGCGTCCAGCCTTGGCCTGAGCAGCTTCATGTCCCTTGGGTGATGCAGAAACTATGAATTGATTATGTTCTCTAAAGTATACATAGTTATTTGGCAACTATTCCTGCTGGCTGTGGTTTCCAAAGTCTGAGCACCTGGGGAAATGGGTCATGGTGTGGAAGGAGCACTCCTTCCTGATGTAAAGGTTTGGCGACCTCCTCTGTCTACTGTCAGTAGAATTATAGACAGCTGCAAGGAATCTAAAAAACCCAGCCTAAAGTTTGTTATTTTACACATTAGGAAACTGAGTTGCAGATGGCTAGATACAGTGTGACCAGGGAGACAGGCACTAGGTTTCAGGGCCAAGTTCCCTGATGCCTGGGTAGGAACCTCCTCCCATCTTTATCTGGCTTCCTCAGCAAAGCAGGTAGAGGGACATGATTTATGACAGCAAACTTCAGATTTTTGTTTCCTGGAATAGATGTTTCAGTTTGCAGTTTGTTTAGAGCTTAATCTATTTTTCCTCCTGCTTTTGTTGTCTTTGATTATCTTATTCCCCTTTAACTCTCATAAGAGAACAAGAGGGAGCAAGGGAAAGGAGGTAAAGATAACTAGTTGTCAACAGCTTCTGAAAACCACATCTTGTATTTTGAGCTTTCTTGCCTATTATATAGGCAATGAGACCATTCCTCTTTGCTCTGTGATCTTTTCTTAAGGGCTAGAGAAACTACTGTATCACATAAACTGCTTACTTTATAGTTTGCAATATAATATGTGCACATCAGTTCTTACATGATGAAATATGTAGCTTAATAGTTGGGCATAGATTTAAATAAATAGTGTAATGCCTGAATTGCAACCTAAAATGCTTTTTACTTTATTTTATTTTATTTTAAATATGTTGTTACTGATTTTAGAGAGTGGAAGGGAGAGGGAGAGAGAGAAACATCGATGAGCTGCCTCTTGCAGTCCCCCTATTGGGGATCGAGCCTGCAACCCTGGCATGTGTCCTAACTGGGAATCTAAGTGGTTACCTTTTGGGTGTATGGTATGACACTCAGTCAAATGAGCCACACTGGCCAGAGCCCTAAAATGCTTTTTAAACTATTTATTTTTGTCATTGCAGCCACGTTTGTTTTCACCCAAAGAATTGGGTTTGCCCTGCACAGGAATTGAGCGAAATATTTGTACCTGAATGTATGAAACCCCATAAACTATTTTGAGATACCCTGCAGTCATTTTTAATACATTCAGTAGATGGTAATTATGAATACAAACCATAGCCCAACTTTACAGTCATTAATCATTTGGGATGTGACTCTTGGAAGAGTGCAGTGATGTGTATGGGAAGGGAGGATCATTTCCCGGGCAGTACTGTGAGATACTGATTACTCTAGATCAGTGATTTTCAACTGGTGTGCTACAAGAATTTTTAAAACATATAATACCTGACTATTTAGTCAGGGGCACTGACCTCTTTTCCCTTAGATTGCCAAATAAATATTGCAACAGCCACCCTGGCTGTTGGTTGGAGCGTTACCCTATATACGTAGGTTTTGGGTTTGATCCCCAGTCAGGGCACATACGGAAGGCAACCTATCCATGTTCTCTCTCACATCGATGGTTCTCTCTCCCTTCCCCTTTCTCTAAAATCAAGAAGCATATCCTCGGGTGAGGATTTAAATAAAATGAAAACAGCCAACACAACAATAGCTGTTTGGTGTGAATGGATCAAAATGATACCTATTTTTTGTCAGATTGGCAAAAAATATATTTTTTTGGTGTGCCACAGAATTTTAATAATTATTTTATTTGTGCTGTGAGATGAAAAAGGTTGAAAATTGCTGCTTTAGACTAAGCTCGCTGCATTTTACAAGGGAGAGGTGTAGTGGGGAAGCATGACATAAACACCACATGGACAAGCTACTTTCTAAATCTTTTCCCCTTCATCTCCTTCCTTCCTTCTTTCTTTTCCTTTTTAACTCATTTGAGAGCTGTGGTTGACTGGCATCCCTGTACCCTCCCCTCCAAGCAAGCCCTGAGGGTGGATCATAAGATGACTTAGGGTCCCATTTAAAGACCTCTTCGGCCAGATCAGATTCAGTTGACTTTTTTTTTTTTTTAAATCCTCACCTGAGGATACTTTTTTCCATTTTTATCTTCAGAGAGAGTGGAAGAGAGAGAGAAACATCAATGTGAGAGAGACACATCAGTTGGTTGCCTCCTGCACTGCTCTGACCAGGGCCAGGGACTGAACTGCAACCGAGGTATGTGTCCTTGATCAGAATTGAACTTGCCACACTGGTCCACAGGCCAGTGCTCTGTCACTGAGCCAAGCTGGCCAGGCTCAGTTGACTTTTTTTTGACACTTCCTCATTACTTGTATCAGCAAGTCTCATGCTCTATCCCCTGCTCACCCCACTCCTACATTTGAAACTTAAGCTGTATCCACTTCTTGCCCTTAGCTAATCCATACTATAGCCCTTGCGGGCCAAGCCAGACATGCTTAGGGAATTGAGAAGCAAGACTGCTCTATGGCTTTTCTTTGTCTGCTTGCCTGATGGTGGGACAGGGTTTGAATCTGAGGTCTGCCGACTGGCTGTGGGTGTGTGGGCGGAGCATGTCTGTGAACTCCTCTGAAATTGAAGGCCAAATTTTATGTCTTTATGTTTTTCCGGGCTGAGGTTCTGATGAAAGCTATGGCTTCTCAGAAGGTCTGTGAACAACAAATTGTTAAACCATTGTTCTTGGTTGTTGCTAAATGTTGTGCCAATGTGTTTCCCCAACCACCTCACACCTCATGAACTCCAAGGGGATATGTTGATGGGGTAACAGCTGCTCCCTCTCGCCCCTTCCCCACCTGAATGTAGAGCCTGATTCAGGGTTTAGAGCTTGAATTTCTCTGAGAATCAAACCTCATTGTTGAGGATTCTGGGTTGTCCCCATATACCTCTGGAAATGACATGGAGTAGCATGAGCCAGTCATGGAAAGTCCAGTTTCAGAAGTGAGGTGGAATTTTGGCCTGGGTGCTGGTACTTTCCTGCATTTGGTATGTTGTTTACCCATCTCTACAACTGGTAAGCAGTAGAGAAAGGCTGGGTTGAGTGGTCTTTGCTTTTCCTGTGTGGGAAGGTACATTGGTATCACAGTGGTTGACACTGTCTTACCAACACTGCCTGGGCCATTAGTCTCCTACGACAGACCAAGTTAAGCATGAACTGCGGTATTCAAGTTCAGAGAGCTGAACAAACTCATATTCAGTTTAGCTTTTTTTAGACAAGGGGAAGTTGGTATAAGTGTTCATAAGGGTGAGTGATTCAAATGCTGTCTTGTTAGCTTTGTATATATGTCAGCATAGATTTTTTTCATATTACATCTTTACTTGTATCAGAAATTGAAAAATTGGCTTCACAGAAATGTCTGCTGCTTCACTGGGTTTTTAGCTTATAGCTTTTGTTCTTAGGAATGGTATAATTTTGTTTATGTGTAGTTTAAAAATTTTATTATTATGCACGTCATTGAACAGAGCAAGAGGAAGGTTATAATTAAGAATGCAATATCATGTAACTTACCCAATGGTGTATATTGCCTTAATATTAAGAATGAAATGTGTGCATGGCTGGTGTGGTTCAGTGGTTGAGCGTGGACCCATGCACCAAGAGGTCGCCAGTTTGATTCCTGGTCAGGGCACGTGCCCAGGTTGTGGGCCTGATCCCCAGTGGGGGGCATGCAGGAGGCAGCCAGTGGATGGTCTCTCTCATTGATGTTTCTCTCTCTCTCTCTCTCCCTCTCCCTTCTTCTCTCTAAAACAAATAAATAAAAATAAAAAATAAAACGTAAAGTGGATACTTTCCTTTAAAAAAAAAAAGAATAAAATGTGTTACCTCTAGTTTAAGAGAAAATGGGAGCTTGAATATATACACTTTAAAATAACATTATGGTACTAAACTAAAATTTTTTTAAGGAAGAATTGCTAACATTTTGGTTTAAAAAATTTTTTTATCCTCACCTGAGGACATTTTTGCATTTATCTTCAGATAGAGTGGGAGGGAGAGAGAGAGAAACATTGACGTGAGAGAGACCCATCAACTGGTTGCCACCCACACGGCCCCAACCGGGGCCAGGGACAAATTACAACCAAGGCATGTGCTCTTAGCGGGAACCGGACCTGGGACTCTCAGGTCCACGGGCTGGCACTCTAACCGCTGAGCCACAGTGGCTAGGGCTTTGGTTTTAAAATCTCACTCAACTATATAATTGAGTGTTACTCTCAAGCCACGATCCCCAAGAAATCAAATCACATTTATAATTCTGTCTTACTTTTCTGGGTGTCTGTGTGTTTTCTAGAAGGAAACTTTGCTGTGATGATCATTTAAGTCTGTGGGCTTTAGTGGCCGCTGTTGTGCCAAATGGTGGATATTCCCCACCCCCGCTCCAACTTGGCAGTTATAAAATTTCTGAAACTGCAATATTTTATCTTATTTACTATCCCTTTCCTATCATTGTTTTCACTGTTTTCCTTTCCCATAATAGAAATTCAAACCTAGCTATTTCAGATTTACAGCTTTATATAATTTTATTTTGTTATTTTCACCTTTAATATTTTGATACTTAAAGTTAAAGCAAAAGTTTATTGAGTGAAGCATTTTCTTAAATAAAATTAGTTTTTCTTGCTCTCACACAACAACTCTAGTTGGTTGACCTTATGTTGAATAAATATCTCATTTTAGCCATTAAATGTCTTTTTTGACCTTTATTGCTTAAACTTAAAACTTATTTGTTCTCCAAGGAAATACAGCTTTAGGATAATTTTTAAGGTGGCTTTAAAGGCCATATTACAATTTCCTTTGTGGCCTTGGAAAGCTAGCAAATGTCCTTGATGGAAGTTAGTAAACATTTGTGCACAAGATGTGAATGAAATCTAGTTGTGGCTAATGTAATTTGAAGGTACTCGGGGCCCCATTTATCAATTTCTGCTTTGCTGCTTTTGTATATCATGAAACACTCCTTTTTTATTTCCAATAATCTTGCTTTCTGTTTCTGCCTTCCCTTTGACTTCTTTCCGTTCCTCTCCTGTTGGCCTTTGTGGGAATTTGTAATTGTGGCTATACTGAGAAACGTTTGCTCAGAGAACCCCATCTGGGCACTGGTGCTTCGATTGCGCTTTGGTTATTTTGTAGATTGAAAAAGAAGAGGAGAAATTAGAGCCCAGTGTGCACGCAGCATAGCCACACAGTTTGCTGAGGCAGAATGTGAAAAAAGGACAAATAGGTTCCTGGTCTGTGAGAAGTAAGAACTGGAAGAGGAACCATGTAGATCAGCGATTTTCAACTGGTGTGCTGCAGGAAGTTTAGAATATGCAATACCTGACTGTTTAGTCAGGGGCACTGACCTCTTTTCCCTTAAATTGTCAAATAAAAATAACAGCCACCATAACAGTAGCCATCTGGTGTGAATGAATTAAAATGATACCTTTTTTTTTTTTTGGTCAGATTGGCCAAAAAAAAATATTTTTTGGTGTGCTGCAGAATTTTAGCCATTACTTTATGTTTGTCACGAGATGGAAAAGGTAGAAAATCGCTGCTGTATATCATATAGATCTTGTCCAGTCTTCTCATTGTGAAGATAAGAAAACCGAGGCCAAGGTTAGGGAAGTGCTTGCCCAAAGATATGCTACTGATAATATTTTGAAAATGATTCACTTGAATGCCTGTTTCATAGGATCAGAATTTTTCATATTTGATAAAGCTAGGAAGGTGGGAGAAAGATATTAAATTAACAAAAGAAGAACTAACACATTTAGTCACTTTTTATTTTAGGTGTTTGATGTATAGTCTGTGGGAATCTGGTTTCTGTGTGCTTTGAACTCTGGCACGGACTCCATGGGTGACATCACACCTTTTGCTTGAAATCTGACAAGCCAGAGTACATGGAAAGTACCTTTTCCCTAAAATGGCCCCTCAACCCCAGAACATTAAAAAAATAGGCACACACGCACACCATCACCTTCATTTTAGAAAAAAGGGATTAGAAATGATCATTGGCCCTGGCTGGTTTGGCTCAGTGGTAGAGCATTGGCCCACGAACCAATGAGTCCTGGGTTCGAATCCAACCAAGGGCACGTACTTCGGTCATGGTTCATCCCTGGTCGTGTGGGAGGCAACCAGTTGATGTGTTCCTTTCACGTCGATGTTTCTCTCTCCCTGTCTCTCTTCTTGAAGATAAATAGAAAGATATCCTCTGGTAAGGATTAAAAAAAAGAGAGAAATGATCTTTGGGCAAATTGTTTATTAATACTTTGCAGCAATGGATATAGTATGAGAATTCATAGGAATAGCTAGCTAGCTTTTGAGTGCTGAGTGTTTTATGTGTCTCTTCTTACAACAATCTTTTGAGGTGGGTACTTTTACTGTCCTTTGCAGTGGTTAAATTTAGGCACTGAGAGGTGTAGTTACCTTAGTTCCATGGTCATATGACTAATAAGGGCTGCAGTGAGGAGTGGTTAAACCCTGACCTAACTCTGGGTTCCCTCTCCATCCTACAGCTGGGTCACCACATAGCATGTGTCCTGACATGTTAGACCATGTACCTGTCAGGCAGAAGGAATAGGTAGAGCCAGTCACAGGTGTGAAAGTGCAAGGCTGTGATACCTTGGGCTGGTGTGGGTGTGTATAGGCAAATCATGGAATACTGGCTAGACTGGTGGGTTAGGTTCAGATTTTAGACTTTCCTGCTTATTTGGGAGCCATTGAATGGTTTCAGTGGGGTAGGGAGAGGAGAGGTAGGTATGTTAGATTTGCCACCGCTCTCAGCACACCCTGTTCATCTGTCTCTTTCTCCCCTCATCCTTTCCTCTTCCCCCCAGCTGTACCAGGCCATGGACAAGAAGTGGGGGAAACTAAGGGAATTGGGGATGGAAGTATTTCAATTCACTTAATTCCTTATTGTTTATTGACCTAATTAAATTCCTGTTTCCTGTGTTCCATTGTGCTTGGAGCATCCTATCTTGTTGAAGATGGGGGTGTGCTGTCATCAGGAGGGAGTATAGGAAATTGAGGGTCTGATTACTTCTTGTATGTATATCAGCTAGTTTCCTTGTTTTCAGCTCTGAGTGTCTCCTATGCCTTGTGAATACTTGGCACCTCCAATTCCCAAGCCTTTCTGGGGTTCTGTAGGGTTTACTGGTCTTCCCTTCAGCAGATGCCCTTCCATAGGCTGCGAGGCTCTGTCCTCCATCATTTATTACTCCTTCATCCACTTTTGGAGTTTCACATGTCTTGTGGTTTCAGCAGAGGTAGTGTTTCTGTTTCCCATCATTGTGTTGTGGTGCATGTTGAGGGGGAGAGAAGGCATCCTAAAACCAGAAGTCCCGTTCTTCCTTGTCTAGCACCCGGTGGAGTTTTCTCCCTTTCTGGTACTTAGTAGGTTCTTGTTAGTTCACTAAGTGAGACTAGAGACTCTTTAGGAAGCTGTTATATAAGTACAAAGTCAGTCGCAATGGCAGCAGTAGGAGTATGTCAGACAGTTGGGATATCTCAATGGACATGGGGCTGTTTGCTTGAATGTGAAGGTCAGGGAGCAGGGGAGCCCTGAGGTATTTTTTTTTTTAGCTTTGGGGACTTGTAGTAATTGATACTTGCCTATTGCTTTTAGAGTAGCTATTGTAAAGTTTGCTTGTGACATTAAAGTGGTTCGTTACCCTACATTCCTATAGAAACACTTTTAATAGCACTGTATCTGTTCTTGGAACTTCATAGAATCTGACAGTGCTTCATTGATAAGACACATGCTGAGATGCTTACATGTATAGATGAGGCATTAATAGACATTACAATTAAAATGGCCTCAGAGCCAGATAGCAAATGGAGTAATGTAAAATGTCTCATTTAAAGTAAGAAACCCGCCCTGGCTGGTTTGGCTCAGGGTTAGAGTGTCGGCCATGGACCAGAGAGTCCCGGGTTCAGTTCCTGCTAAGGGAACGGACCTCGGTTGCAGTTTGTCCCCGGCCCTGGTTGGGGTCCTATTGGTGGCAACCAGTTGATGTGTCTCTCTCATGTCGATGTTTCTCTCTCTCTTTCTCCCTCTCTCCCTCCCGCTCTATCTGAAGATAAATGCAAAAATGTCCTCGGGTGAGGATAGAATAATAATAATAATAAAGTAAGAAACCCTGGCCAATTTGACTCAGCGGTTAGAGCATCAGTTCGTGTACCTTAATGGGTCAGTTCCAGGTCCAGGGCATGTTACCTCGATTGTAGGTTCCCAGGTGGGGTCGTGCAAATGGCAACCAATTGACGTCTCTCTCACATCGATGTTTTGTTCTCTCTCTCTCTGTCTCTCCCTCCCTCCCTTCCACTGTCTCTAAAAAAAATCAATGGAAAAATATCCTCAGGTGAGGAATAACTAAATAAATAAGTAATTAAATAAAGAAACTCTGAAGTGAAATGATAGAAAAATGAGCATCTAAGCTGAAAGACCCATATTTTATCATATTGTTATTATGTAATATTAAAAAAATTAAATGTTTTACCAATTTTTTAAGCATCTGCATTTGTGATAAGAGGGAAAATGTCAGTGCAACAAAGTTTTGAAATGTCTCATTTGGTGTGATTTTAGCGAAGAGGACATGTATCGTGCTGCGGATGAAATAGAAAAGGAGAAGGAGTTACTTATACATGAAAGAGGCTTATCAGGTATGTTTGGAATTGTTTTATTTATAGAGTTCTTACTGTTTATAGTAGGAAATGCTGTTAAATCAGTATATCCCTTTTCATAAAATATTAAGATGTACTTTTTAGGAAATATGCATATGGTCTTAGCTGTGTGTGATTACTCATTTTGCTGAAGTCTGTTTGGTGAGTACTGTTTCCTGAGGTTTTAACATTTTAATGAAAGTATTCTCCGTGTTTTTTACATTCATGTCATTTTGCACCTGTGAGGGTTTGTTGACTCTCTTGACACCACTCCCTCTCAGTTCTTGATTTCCTTACATTCTTGGAGGGAGAATGTGGATTTGCACTGCAGTTTTCATTTCAAATAGAAGGACTAATAGAGAAATGTGTCTTTGCATCAGATGGTCACGTGAATTTGATGGACTTGTAAGAGAGGTCATGGGATCGGTAGCACTAATTCTCTCATCGTTTCATGATTTTGTGTCCATGTTTTTGCTCAGTCATACCTGCTCTTCTCACCCCAGTCAGAGTCCTTTGACATATCATTGCTGCTAGGGCGAGGCATTACATCCTGGCTTCCTCCACTGTGGGCAAGGCTGACAGGGCAGTGTACGAAGTACCTCCTTACGTCTCTGGCTAGTCTTGTGCAGGAGCCAAGTGGGGATGCTCCAATTTGGGGATGTACCATAGATGAGGCACACGTGGTATTTTCTCTTTTATTACCTGTGTAATGTGTGTGTTCTACTGGTTTGTTTTGAGAACTAGCTTCTGTTTACTTTATGGTTAACAAAAGTATTACCATATGTGTAATTAGGAAGAAGTGATACAAAGTGGGGTTTTGTTGATAATTTTCAAGTCTTCCTCAACAAGGAATTGGTGGAATTCCTCACTAGTGGCCATAGGAGATGTTCTTTGTAGTGGTCCAGTCATTTGTGTTCCTGGGCCACACTGTTCTGATTCTCCATAAAATTGCAGAGGATGCTTGGTTTCTACTGCCGCAGTTGCACAAAATTCACTTCTGATGCAGAGTCCTTATTAGTTATATTCCTGAGGAGGAAGTGCTTCTTTGACTAGTGTGTATTTCTGCTACATTTGCAGAGACCTCTCACTTTCTGTCATTCTGAAGGCTCTGTTATGATTCTTTTCTGTCCACCAACTATAGCCCTGTGCAGGTGGTTTAGCTTTCAGTGGGCTTTGCCACTTCCATTTTAGTCTAAGATTAAAATGAACCCCTTTATATTCTTTCTTGCATGTCAGCCCTCTGGGTTTATTCATTGCCTTTCTGAAATAACATCCTTTTGTAGTGCCTCTGTAAGGGTCTGTTGGTGGGAAGCTCTGTGTGTTTGAAAATTTTTTTAATTTCACTTTCTTTCTTGAATAACTCCAGATGAATAGTTGTTTTCTCTAATCTTTTTGAAGATTTTATTGTGTTGTCTTCTGGTTTCTCTTGTAGTTTAAACACTGTGGTCAGTCTAATCCTTGATAGATTGTGTGCTTTTTTTCTTCTCTTTGTCTTAGGTGTTTCTCCTTGATAACTCGTAAGCGTGGATTTTTTTTTTTAAACATATTGCTTGAGAATTTTTTTCTGTTTCCCTCCCTGGGCACCTGTTTTAATCAATTCATGAGAATTCTCAGCCATTATTTTTATGTATATTGCCTTTTTCCACTTCTCTGTATTTACTCTTTCCAGAACTCTAATTAGATATTGCCAGCCTTCATTCAGTCAAAGCTCCCAGTTACACATGCTTTCATATATATTTCTTATCTTGTAGCCTCTGTTGCATTCTGGACAGTTGATTCAGATCTGTTTTTTTTTTTTCTTTCTTTTTTGGAGTTCTGTTTTTCTCCCCAAAATTTGCCTGGTCGTTTTTGATAGTTTATTGTTCTTTGCTCATATTTTCTATTTATTTCTTTATTTAAGCATTTGAAACATACCCTTGTAGGTCTAATCATTCCATTTTCTGAAAATCCTGGTAGGTCTAATTATGCCAGTTGATATTTTTGCTTATTTCTTGTTTCTTCAAAGTTTGAATTGTAAGCTTGACTCTTGCGTATCTGTGTAGAGTTTGTCCAACTTGGCTTGAGTATGAGAAAATTTGGCCTTGTTTCTGTCAGGCACCCAGGGTGTCACGTCTCTTGAATTATCTGAATTTCTAGATTTGTGTTTCCAGGGTCTTGTGGCTAGTCTGAATTCATGCCCTGTCCCTGTAAGAGCTGGCCTGTGGTTATGAACTCTCAGGGGAGATTTCCTCTTCACCACGTCAGAGCCCAGGTCAAGACAAAGTTCTCTTTTTTTATTTCTTTATTGATTTTAGAGAGAGAGGAAGGGAGAGGAGGAAATAGAAACATTGATGAGAGAGAGAACATTGATTGGCCGCCTCCTGCATGCCACCCACAGGGGATTTGGCCCACAACCCTGTGCCCTTACTGGGAATCGAACTGATGACCTCTTGGTGCATGGGTCGATGCTCAACCACTGAGCCACACCAGCCAGGCAATCCAGAGTTTCCTTAACTTCTCTCTTTGTTAGTGAAAAGATCTCTTTCACCTTCTCCAGGGGTCAACATACTCTGGCTATCTAGCCAAATTTGACGTGTCACCTGGTTTTGTACATAAAGTTTTATGAGAACTTCTTGGTTTACATATTGTTCATGGTGGCTTTCATGCATGGTAAAGTTGAGTAGTTGTGACAGAACTTGATGGCCCCCAAAACCTGTTATTTACTGTCTGGCTCACTATAGAAAAGGTGTGTGATTCTTGCCCTTTCCCCCATAATTTGCCTGGTCTTTTTTGATAGTTAATGGTTGAGTCTCCGCTTTCTAGTGGGGTTCATCTTTAACTTCTCATCTTCCAAGGGTCTGATTCTTGTCTTTGTCACCACATGGTGGTTAAGGACCAGACCTTTTGTTTATTTTATATCCTGGTTACCATCTTTTTTTCAGCCTCCCCCTTTTTCCCATTAGAAATATTCTTCCCTGATAGAGTCAGTGTATTTAGCAATTAAACAGAGAAAGGAGCTGTTGTATATTCTGCGCTGCTTGAGGTCAGGCACTGCCTCTGTACTTCTAGCCCCTGGCCTAGAGGATGGCATTCAGTGGCTGTTGGAACCCTCCTCTCAAAAAACAGCAGGAGGATGGGAATTAAAGTACCATTTTGATGCTATCAGCTATGCAAGAACCCCATTTCCTCACTTTCACTGCCTCATGCGTGCATCTGACTCAGCACAAGATTGTGGCTGGTGGCTGGCTTCTTGACCAGGTGAGGCCCCCTGCCCACTCCTCTCAGTCCTGAGGTGGTGGGCCTGGCCTGCCCGCCCTGCCCAGGGACTGGGTATCATCTTGGCACGGACAGGAATAAGGACTGCAATTGAGAACAGGAAGGCTGGACTTCCTTTTTTTTTTTTTAATCCTCACCCGAGGACATTTTTCCATTTTTTGTTCAGATAGAGCAGGAGGGAGAGAGAGGAAGAGAGAGAGAGAGAAACATCGACATGAAGGGACACATCGAGTGGCTGCCACCCGCACGACCAACCAGGGCCGGGGACTAACTGCAACCGAGGTACATGCCCTTAGTGGAAACCGAACCCGGGTCTCTCAGGACCGCAGGTCGACGCTCCAACCACTGAGCCAAACCGGCCAGGGCAGGACTTCCTTTTTTTTAAATCCTCACCCGAGGACATTTTTGCATTTACCTTCAGATAGAGCAGGAGGGAGAGAGGGACAAAGAGAGAGAGAGAGAAACATCGATGTGAGAGAGACACATCGAGTGGTTGCCACCCACATAACCCCAACTGGGGCTGGGGACAAACTGCAACCGAGGTACATCCCCTTAGCGGGAACCAAACCCGGGACTCTCTGGTCCACAGGCCGACGCTCTAACCACTGAGCCAAACCAGCCAAGGCAAGCCTGGACTTTCTTTCTGTGAGGCCCCTCCTGAGCAGGAAGGTACTCTGCCTGGTGTGAGAACATGGCCCAGTAAATGTCCTCGACTCTGGAGATCAGCAGTTCCTCGTGGTTTGTGGGGAGGTGAGTAGAAAGGCAGATACAAGGCAACTCTTCCCTCTACTAAGTAGACACTTGAATTTTTTTTTTAATCCTCACCCAAGGACATTTTTCCATTTTTTGTTCAGATAGAGTGGAATGGAGAGAGAGGAAGAGAGAGAGAGAGAGAGAGAAACATTGACGTGAAAGGGACACATCGAGTGGCTAGACACTTGAATTTTAACAATGATAGGTCTTTATTTGAAGATTTTCTGAGCAGCATTGGCATTTGTGGTCTCTGTATATTGATTCAGGGGCCTGTTTCACTTTAAACCCATCCTGACTTATGCCACAGCTACATGCATCTGTGTTGTCTGTATTTGTGTTATTTCCCCTCTTACATACAAGGTTTATTTTCTTTATAAAGGGATTCACCATGAGATTTTTAAAACTAGATAGTTCTTAACGTTTTACATTAAAAAAAAATTTGATTTACCTGAACTGCAAGAGGGGCTTAGGGGCTTCTCTTTTGTGCTCTTTAATCAGTCATCTCAGCATGTATCACACCCCGGCCTATGAATGCCTGTCATCTTGTCTTCTTCAGTAGTCTCTAAACCCATGCAGAACAGAATCTGGGTCTTAAGACTTCATATTCCTATCTCAATGCTTGATGTGAATTAGACACTCAGTACATATTTGTTGAATTGAGCTGAATATAATATTTTTATTTTATCTACAATTTTCTCTGGAGTGGATATGTTGTAAGGTACTTCTAGTGTTTATATCCTGAGTTCTTTGCTAACATTTACTTCTTGAATATTTTAAAAAGGAAGTCAAGATATGCCTGAGAATTTACTTCCCTTTCCTCCTAAAATATACACATAGATGTGTGTGTGTGTGCGTGCATACACATAGCCCGCAAAATCAAACCCGAAACAAGGAAAACTAAAGGCCATTTTCTTACTATATCATTTTCTGGATTATAAGTTGTGTTTTTAATTTTTTTTTTTTTATTAGACTCAAATGAGGTCTGTAGTTCAACTAACATTGAGAGCCCCGTTACTTTCTGGCTTATTATCAATAACTGTAAGTCCTTGGGGATCAGGGCAGAATATAAATTAATAAAAACAACTAAATATACTTTTTTTTTTTTTTTGCAGACGTGTTCTCTCTTTGTATAATGGATGAGAAAACTTGTTATAAATCATTAGATGTATTTTCTCATAGCTCAGACTATTGCATATTTAATTGATTAGAACAGTATTCACGGACACCTGTGTTCAAGCAGTTGTAGGTGCTAAGGATACAGCCAGGAAACAAAACAAGTCCCTGCCCTCAAGGAGCTCATGTTTTATTGTGTTTGTGTGTGGGCATGGATGTGGGTGTGAGGTGGGGTGGGGGATACAGAAAAAGAAATATATTGGGTGTTGATCAGTGCCAAAAAGAAAAACAGGACAGTGTAAGAGGAATATAGAGTAAAGGTGTGTGACATTATGATAATAGGGCTGTTAGAGGTAAACAGAGACATGCATGGAGTGTGGGAGTAGATACCTGGGGAAAAGCCAGGTGTATTGTAGGAGTACAGGAAAGGCTGCAGGTTTAACAGGAGCTGTCAGTGGGGGGAGTGGTGGGAGCTGAGGCCAGAGAGACAGTGAGGGGCCAGGGCAGGGGACCCTTGTAGGTGGTAAGGACATTATTTCCACTCCAACTGAGATGGGATTCCCGAGTTCTTGGAACCCAGGAGTGATGGATATTGTTAAAATGTATCACTCTGGCTGCCATGTGGAGAATGGTTGGTAGGATATGGTGATAAGGGAGAAGAGACCATATGGAAGACCTGTGTGGTTGTCTAAGAGCAAGGGGATAGTGGTCTGGACCAGGCGGTAGGCAATAGTGGGATCCTGGATGTTTTTTGGAATGAAGTGAGAGAGAGAGAAATCCCCATATAAAGCAGTACCATTGTTCTGATTATGCTTTGTTTCATTATTTCCCCCTCCTCACTTTTGTCTGTCTTTTTAACAGAACCTAAATTAAGTGTGGCTCCTGAAATGGATATCATGGATTACTGCAAAAAAGAATGGAGGGGAAATACGCAAAAAGCTACATGTATGAAAAAGGTATGATGCCTACATGCATGTATTTTAAGCCTTTCAAATAGTCTATCATAGGTAATTATTTAGTGTGTCCTTTTATACTGTTAGAAGTTAATTATGACAACTATTACTCTGTGTCAATGCTGGTGTTCTTTTAGAGATAAGGAAACAGACTCCAAAGATGAAGGACTTTTTTAGATTCACAGTGTTACAATAGAATCAGCACCAGTTTTTTAGTAACATGATTTCTTTGAAAAACACAGAAATGACTCTGTGCTGTTTAGAGTTGGGCCAGCCATTGCTTGTCCTCTTGGGGTCATTTGGGAATGCTCTTCTGACCTGGTGAGGTGAAAGATGTCCTATCTTTTACTGTTCCCACCTGGGATTGGTTTCATGCCCTCCACTCTTAAGTGCCCAGGCCCTCCTGCACTCCCTATGCACAGGGACCTGGAACTCCTCCCCTCATTTAGGGTGTCCCAGGAGCTGCCCCACTCCCAGTGGCATCCATTGTCTAGATTGATGACCCTAAGCTAGTCTCCAAGGCTGTGGGACATCAGGGATTCTCGTGCCATGGTCCTGTTGTGACTAGGCTGGGTCATTGCTCAAGGCAGATCCCTTGACTCACTCCCACTGTGTAGCCATCTGAGCAGCATGCCCTGTTGGTTCCCCTTGAATGCATCCTGAATCCAACATTCCTTGGTAGTGTGAAGCATGCAAATTGCCACCATTCAACCTTTCTGAGCTGCGGAAATGACAGTTTCAATCTAACACTTCCACCACCTCTTGTAACCTGTGTCATACCCTCTGCTCATTTTTTTCTTGGGTTTATTGACATTATGAATTTGAATGTACTTCTTGTGTATTAGAGATATTGATCTATCATATTTGGTAAAATTTTTTTAAATATATTTTTTGTTTATAACTATATTGTTTAGGATTTAAAATTTTTTAAATATTTGAATACATTTCCTATTTTCCTCAGCTTGTTTTTTTGTAGAAAGTATTGCACATCTTTCAGCAGGCACCTCAGCTGCCCAGGCCTTCCTGGAAACGGGCTGATCTTACTCAGAGTGTAGCTGCCACTTTTCAAGGTCTGAGAGCAAATGTCAGCTCTGCTCCCTGCAAGTGTGGACTGTAGGCTCTTTGTGTCTCAGTCCCTTGTTAGAGAACTCAATCACAAAATACCAGGGGCTCTCAGTTCCTGCTTGAGGTTAAAAATATTTAGATTTGTGAGGCCATCTGCTGAATATGCTGTCGGCCACTCAGTAGATTTTCTGACAACCTTCAGCCCGGTATCAAACTAGATAACCAGTAGGCCAGGTATCTAAACTAATACAGGCATACCTCATTCTTACCGCACGTTGCTTTGTTGCATTTTTTACAAATTGAAGGTTTGTGGCAACCCTGCATTGAGCAGGTGTATCAATGTGATTTTTCCAGCAGGCTCAGATGAGAGTTAGCATTTTTTACGCAATAAAGCTTTTTTTTTCATCCTTTTTAAAATTTTATTTTTCAAGTGCCGTTCACATTCAGTATTATTTTGTATTAGTTTCAGGCATACAGTGTAGTGGTTAGACAATCATGTACTTTACAAAGTGTTTCCCCCAGTATTTCCAGTACCCAGCTGGCACCGCACATAGTTATTACAATATTATTGACTATATTCCTTATGCTGTACTTTACATTTCATGACTATTTAGTAACTATCAATTTGTGTTTTTTAAATTAAGGTATATATATTGCTTTTTTAGACATAATGCTATTGCACAGTTAATAGACTGCAATAGAGTATAAACATAACTTTTATTTGCACCAGGAAACCCAGAAATTCATGTAACTCACTTTATTGATATATTTGCTTTATTGTGGTGGTCTGGAAATGAACCTGTAATATCTCTGAGGTATGCCTGTATTTTTTAATTTTCCCCAGAAATGCTTTCACTGACTTGCAATTTTATTTTATGACCTTAGCCTATTTAAAGAAGCTGTTCTAATCCTGGCCTCGGAAGGTCCATGATCGAAGATGACTCTTAACTTTTCCAAATTTTCCATATTTCGAAGCTCATGCTGAAATCATTTCTCTGTCATTTTATTTCAAGAGAAAAATTTGACCCTGTAGTTGGACTTTTCAGTGAACAAATAATCAAAGGCGCATCAGTTAGAAAAATGTAGTCACATCAGGATTCGTGACCATAATTAGAGCATCTCAGGGCCTGATAACAGATTGGGTCTCAGTTCTTTCTTTAGTCTTTATTTGCCTGTTTTTGTTTTGATATTGTTTTGGAACTGTGTATAAATCCAAAGTTAATTTAAAAAATTTGATTCACTCCTGAAATAGCATGAGTAATTTATGCATTTAGAGAGGTGCAGTTGCTGTGATATTCACTATCCATTGTGAATATTCAAGGTAATTGATAGACCCTTATCTGTCACAGTAGTTGGACCATTACATAAAAATGGGACTGTCAAAATTTTATTACTATAAAGAAATACTTTCATATCCACTGAGAACATTGTCCTGTGACTTGAACCTTGAAAACAGCTAGTAATGAGGGTCTAGTATTTGGACACAGAATGATTGCATGGTGAGACTGATACTCCTTCCTTTGTGTGAGTGCAGCGTAGGAAGCAGGGTTTCTACTGCCTGTCAAGGAAGAGCAAAAGGATGGACAGGATGTGAGTGAGTGAGTTGAGGGAAGCTCTGAAGTTGATACTGATGCCTGAGCAGTACCCAGCGAGGGAAATCAGGTTATCAGGTGCTTATGGACCAGGTCACTAGGATCTTATGGTATCCTTTTTTGGAGTATGCTTTAAAATGTTCCATTTGAATAATTGTTTTTGAGTGATGAGCATGTCACTGAACGTTTTCATTTCCTCATTTCACTTCCAGACTGAACAAGAATGACAATTAAATCTACTTTTAAAAAATGTCTAACAGAATTATCCAGCTATCTCCAAGCATGTAGACTTTTTTAAATGTACCATGGAAATTTGGGATTTGGGTGTGTGTGTATGTGTGTTTTAATATGGAGATACAAACTTAGTACATCTCTCTCCTCTTTCCTATCTTTTCATTAAAGAGTTTAGGATCAATTTAAATACAGATTAAACCCCTTCAGAATATTGGTTATTCATACCTAAATGTTACAATAGTTGCTTGAAAAGGGACATATAACTTCAACTTTGGGAGTGGTTAATGTTTTGATAATATTTGGTGTATTATTTATATGTTCTAGTGTGTTGCATCTGTTAACATATGTTGATATTTTGTGCAGTTGTTAATATCTTTTGATTTAATAAAGAAGGAATTAAAATGTCTTTTTTCTTCAGTTTTTATTGTTGAGTGTATTACAAATGTCTCCCCCTTCTCCCCCATGGCTCCCCTTCACCCAGTTTTTGCCCCACCCCAGGCCTTCACCACCCTATTGTCTGTGTCCATGAGCAATGCATATATGCCTATAAGTTCTTTGGTTAAAAAGGAATTAGAATGCATTACATGAAGGACTCAGTCAGTCTTGTTTCCAGTTTTCAGGGGCACATTTTTGCATAGAAATAAAACTTTTTCTGAAGTCTGTAACTACCATTTTTGAATTCTTTGATGCTTTCACCCAGGGCTATGAAGAGGTATCTCAGAAATTCACGTCCATACGGCGAGTCCGAGGAGATAATTACTGTGCACTGAGGGCCACGCTGTTCCAGGCCATGAGCCAGCCAGCAGTGCTGCCCTCCTGGCTGCAGGACCCGGAGCTCACGCTGGTACGCTGCTGCTGCAGGTTTGCGTCTGCAATGTTTCCAGTCGTTCTTGTGAGAAAGACTTCCCTTTGCTGCCTGTGCTCTGTGCTGGAACTGTCTGCAGTGTGACGTCAGCATGTGGGTTCATTGGGTTTTGTGTGGTTGAGATGATTTTGCATAGTAAAGCGACCAAAATATTATTTTCCAGAAGAGAAGAATGATAAAATTTATTTGAACAGTTGAGCTGAATTAGAGAGTGAGTGTTTAGAGTTTGTAAAAAACACTTAAGAGCAGTTTGACTTCAGTGTTTGGTGTCTGTATTAAATGGGTTGTATATTGTTCTCTCTGGGAACCCGCTGGGGTTTTAGGATGCGCATTTCTGTAATTCTAGCTCCAGTTCAAGAAACCCTCTGTGTAGTGTCAGGAGGATTGTCTTAGTAGGTGTTTAAACAGAAGCACTAGAAGAGGGATGATTGATGTCACCCTGGGAGAGGCTTCCTGGGGAGGTAGAGGTCAGGGGCTGTGTCCCAGGCTAGGTCTTCTTCAGTGCTTTAAATCTGCAGCATGGTACTAGTGACATCCCAGGAAGTCATGGATCATTGTGTCCTGTGTTCTTGTCACATCAGGTGAGGTCACATAATAGTTTGGGTGATAGAATATTCCAAAAGAGTTTGGTGGGCAGGAGTGATTGAGCAGAACTGACAATATGACATTAATTAGAAGAAAATTGTAAGTCTTGTGCTTATATTTTTTCAAAAAGCAAAAACAAAATCCAAAGTGCTGGTTGTTGGGGAATCCACCTTACCAGCAACTTATGGGTGGGGGGTATGAGGCTCTTAATTTATTGCGAGCCCCATATGAGCCCACATGATGTGGTGGCCGGAAGTGGTAGGGAACCCCTACTGTAACAGGAGCACTTCTAAAACACCGAGGCAGCCCTCAGCCAGCTGGGCTGGTCAGCTCCCTTCTCAAGGAGCAAGTGCAGCTTCGTGCCTGTATCCTCAGGGCAGATGGGCATGTCCAAGGAACTGGGGTATTTGAAGTTGAAGGGACCTAGAATAAAGAGGACTTTTAGAGAAAACTGGTTGCCAGCTAAGCTAATTAAAGGTCTGGTAGGTGGGCGAGGGATCACTTCCCCTCAGTGGGGAAACCAGGACCAGTGGCTGTAGGATACTACCCATTCATCCTGTGATTATCCATTTTATAAACTGCATAAAATCAGCACACCTGTATAAACTGTGAAAGCTGTTTTTTTCTAAGCAAAGATGTATATCTTTTTTTTTTTTTTTAATTCTCACTCGAGGACATTTTTTCATTTTTTGTTCAGATAGAGTGGGAGGAGGGGAGAGAGGAAGAGAGAGAGAGAAACATCGACATGAAAGGAACACATCAAGTGGCTGCCTCCCGCACGCATGACCCAACCAGGGCCGGGGACAAACTGCAAGTGAAGTACATGCCCTTAGTGGGAACCAAACCCAGGTCTCTCTGGACCACAGGCCTATGCTCTAACCGCTGAGCCAAACCGGCCAGGGCAAATATATGTCATATTCAGCAGGTTGCTCAATATTAACTTATTGGTTTAGTTTTTTGATTTGATCTACTAGGCTATTTTGTCCTTTGCAAATCATGACATTTATTAATAGTGAAAATTTTCAGAATTGCTGACTACTTGGCAAAAGCATGCCTGTGGCTGGTTATAAGATACTGTTAGGGAAGCAAATGTGAGTGATTTCACTCTTCTTTGCTTTAATTTCAGTGTTTGACAGTCATAATTTGATAGATTGTGGCATAAAATCCTCCTCGATTTTAGGCTGAGTTTTTCTTTGAGCCTTTTGCTTTAAAGGGCTGTTTAAGTTTATTTATTTATTCATTAATTGACATGAATTTGAATTTTTCTAAGAAACTCTGGTACAAGTAGTGCTCTGCATAATTAAACACATAAAGTATGCCCCATACAAGTACAGCACAATGTCCCTTTTATTTTACTAACAGGATACCTTTGGGCATTAGAAACAGTCAAGGTGGATTGCACTCGCTTTCTGACCTCTGTTAGAATATGTGGTGTCTATAAGCAATGGGGCTTCAAGGTGGTTTTCCTGATTTAACGAGTCACGTGGAAATATTTTTTAGATTCTCAAGTGTCTTTCTAGTTTCTTCCCTGTTCTATATATATCAGCCAACAAATACAGCTTCTTTTTTGGGAGCATAATCTGATTAGTTGGTTACAGTGGTATTATTTTTGTCATCTAACCTTTATTGAATGCCAAGAGGCCCATGTCACAGAGAAAAAGCACCTCATGCCTGCCTGTGACTTTAGTATTTAAGTTTATTAAACTTTAGTTCTGTTAATGTCAGCTGAAGAAATGACTTTGTTCATTTCTTTTTTCCTCGAACTGGAGGACTTGTCCTGCTGGCTTTCTTTGGTTTGAGCACTTTTTTGCAGGGTCAGTTTTGTTGTGTCGCTGAGCAGGTGACAGATGCACCATGTGCTTCTCGTTTGGGGTGCCGGTGCAGGAAGGGGAACCAGACTTGGTTGTTGCACTTGACCAAGCTATTTTCTAAGCACCTCCCAGTCACCCTCCTGCCCTCTGCACTCCTGTTCTCACTGACGGCCAGATGGAGTAAGCAAGTGGGTGGCGCAGCATGACTGGAAGACATTGGGGTGGAACTGAGTGCATAGACAGAGGGGTGGTGAGGCCTACCGAGGCTGGCAGTGTGCCCAAGGGTGTTGGCATACCTGACCCACCTCGCCCCAGAGGTGGGGTCTCCATCTCCAGGTACTACTTACATAACTGTAATAAGTAAACATCTTAATATTTATTTGTTAACACAGATGCTTAAGACAAGCAGATCAAGTGAAACTTAAATAATTCTATGGCTACAAAACAAAATCTTACAGGGGTTTTGGTATGAAAGTCGGTGTGGCCATTTCCTACCCATCTTCCTGATATGGAAGAACACCTTGTGTCATATTAAGTAAAACCCTGCTTGCTATTAGAACTTGGTGTAAATTATTTGTGTTAAAATGGGGTTGACTTGGTATATTAAGTACTTGGACTAGACCCACAATAAATCTCTGACAATGAATCTGATTCAGTTTACCCTGATCCTTGGTCTTTCTGAAATGCTGAGGGCCTCTTCTGACTGCTGCCCTGTGTCCAGTGACAGTACTATGCCCTGGCCGGTTCATGGCATAACACTTCTGGTTATCATGTGTCCATGGGCCTTTTAGAAGTTCTGGCCACTTATTGGGGCACGAAAAGGCTGTCCCAGCAGGCAGGTTGGAGGGAATCTAGTTCCAGCATTATTAGGGTCTCCTGAACTGCACTGGCTCTACGGAACCCAACATTTTCAGCTTTGGGGGTTGGAGAGGTCCTGGGACACCTAAGTTTTTCATGAACCTGTAGATCCAGGAATAGTCTCAGCCTATGGCCACATGCTGTGCAAAACATCCCTTGACCTCCTTGACCTCACTGTGCATTCCATCAAGAATTTGTGTGGCCCAGCTGGTGTAGATAAGTGCATTGAGCGTCATCCCACGGACTGAGGTCCCGGTTCGATTCCTGGTCAGGACACATGTCTGGGTTTTAGGCTTGATCCCCAGTAGGAGGCGTGCAGGAGGCAGCTAATCGATTTTTCTCTCTTTCTCTCCCTTCCTCTCTTTTTAAAATATCAAAAACTTACTAAAAAAAAAAAAAAAAGGAGAGAGAGAGAATCTGTGTGAACCCAGTGAAACCATATTTGGTTACCAAGGGACATGCGCCCTTTAGCTAGCTGTATTTAAAGCTGTTCCCTGTAGCATTTTACCTTCTTCCCTCCCTCCTAGAGCAGTACATGAAAGGGATGTGGGAGAACTGGACTGAGACACCCTCCCTTAGTCTGATCTCAGTGGAAGAGAGCCAGGACTTTGCATTCTACCGGTGCTTAGCTCCTCTGGCCTTGTTCCCTTCCCCGCCTAGAAGGTTGAGCTTTGTCCTCACTGCCCCTTGGGCAGTTCAGCTGCCCCTCACCTCCTGTCATCTTGCCTGGGCTCCTGATGTGTTATTTCTGCATCTGTCAGATCCCAGTTTTGGTGTCTGACAGCAGTCGGATTATCTACCCTGACCCCAACCTCAGAGGTGCTTGGTTTGGCTGTTCTTAAACTTGGAACAGTGCCTAGGTCCCTGAGAGATGGTGTCCTTCAGGTAGTCCTTTGACTTCCACGTTTTCTAAGCTTTAGAATGTCTCGGAGTGGGTGGGACACGTGACAGTGTTTTCTTAGAGTGAGTTAGACTGTACAGTATATCAAAACTAATTTTATGAGTTAGTTTTAGGGATGACACATTTTTATTTGCTATCCCTTTAATCATGGTGTTGATTTCAAGAATTATAGACACTTGTTAGAGAAAACAGACTGTTTTTATAGTTCAGTCACAAATGAAATTATACTTAAGCTAAACTACTGTATTCTTAAATATTTTTCATCATTATTTCTTGTTTAAGTTTTGTGTCTTGCTTCCTTATTGTAACAGAAGTGCAGTCTCTATGTGGAGGAGAAAAGTATGGCTGTTTATATGTTCTATGTATTATGACCCCTGAAAGCATTTAAAGTTACACTTACTATTTTCTTGTGAATAAATAATTCCAACTCAATTATTATTATTTTTTATAGTTTCCTTTTCACTCTTTATTTTTTGGACTTTCTCCACTGTCTCCCAGAAGTGTACCACTGAGCTGGAGGATCACTCAAGCAACGCTTTGAGCAATACATGGAAGGAATGAGGAGATGTTCTTTTTTTTTTAATATGTGTTCTTCATTAATTTTTTTTTTTTCTCTTTAGAGAGAGAGAGGAAAGGTGAAAGACAGAGAGCACTGATTGGCCACCTCCTGCATGCCCCCCACTGGTATCGGGCCCACAACTCAGGCATGTGCTCTGACCAGGAATCAAACTGGTGACCTCTTGGTGCGTGGGTTGACACTCAACCACTGAGCCACACCAGCCGGGCGAGGAGATGTTCTTTTATTTGGGTTTCTGTCTGCATAGTTAGATCTTTGGGGGTCTCCCAAGTAATTCAGTTTGAGTGCTTTGCCTGCTTTTAGATACCTGCTCAGTGTCCCGAGATGCTCAGATGGGCTTCTGGGCTTCCCTTGACCTGGCTCCCAGCTCATATCTGTGTAGCCAGGATTTCCTCCTCACTTGTACTTCTCTGTGCCCAGTTGTGATTTCAGCTTGTTGCCACTTGAGGGCATTTTAGGTTCTGGTGATAAACCTGAGAACCTAGTTGAAGGTTTGCATCAGAGCTAGCCACGTGCTGCCAAAATGCAGGACAGTGTGGGCTCGGAGCAGGGTGGCTCTTGGGTATGGTCATTTGTCATCACGATAAGCCCCTTCCACCTCGGTGAGTGAGTGTGGATCAGCATCACTGTGGTAACTCCAAGAGGAATTTACATCCCTGTTGTGGCTTTATTTTTTTGCAGAGATGAAACCACCTTTGTTTTACATGATTCCTATAGATGGAAAAGGCATAACTGGACTTAAAACTTATGAAAGGGTCTTCAGGGTCTTAGATTGGAAGAACTGAACATATGGTCTTATTTAAAACTATTTATAACTGTTAAACAAGCTCAGGTTCTACATAGGGTGTTGTAGGAATTAATTATTCTTTAATGATGTTTTGACTTAGAGATGAACTTCTTTTTCCTCTCTACATTTTATAGCAGTGACACGACATGCTTGTGCCCAACCTAATTATATGGATTTTTCTCCTGACACACCCAAGACTGCTGGGAGAGTCTGAGTTCCCATGCTGTCATCCATCAAGTTGTGTCCCAGCTTGTCTTTCAGACTCCAGATTCCACTGATGGTTGGGGGAAAATAACAAATGCTATAGGAAAAAAAGGGAAGCCAGCAAAGTATTGGTTCAGCTGTCGCTTCTTTATTGAGCTAGGCCATCACAGCTCCCTTAACCCCTGCTGCTTATTCTCAGTGGTATTTTTATCTTCCTATACTAAGCAGTTGGACTAGATACAATATTGTTTCATTGAATATTAAAACTTTGAGTATATGTGTTAATATCAAAATTAGGTTTTATTTTCCTAATCAGGAAGGGAGCAGGTTTTTACTATCTAGACCATCTCACATGCCCTGAAGTGCCTTCCAGATTCAGGGATTAAGGAGCGATAGGGAGGTGGCCAGTGAGCCCAATAGCTGCCGAGAGATTTTCTGTGAAGACACTTCTTTACGTACTCTCACAAAGTGCTGTGTAGGGTTCCTGGCTGGCGTTGTTGCGCAGGTTAGATTATAGCCCTGTATCTCAATCTGAACCACCATTTCTCTCTAGCAGTTCTTAGAGCGGAACTTTCTGAGTTCCTGACTTCCAGAGTTAGGTGATCCATCCTAAACACATGATAGGTTTGCAGGAATTAATTCTGGAAATGAAGGTAGGTTTTGTAGGCTCTGTGGTTTCTTACAGCTTGATTCAACTGATGTACTTTTTGGAAGGTTAATTTTCTTTATCTCTCTGTTTCTTGATATTCCAGTTACCAGAAAAACTCATAAGCAAATACAGCTGGATCAAGCAGTGGCAACTTGGATTGAAATTTGAGGGGAAGAGCGAGGACCTGGTTGATAAAATTAAGGAGTCCCTCACTCTGCTAAGGAAGAAGGTTTGGAACATGTAATTTCCTTTTTCTAAGGAATGCAAAGCTCCTTCTTCTAATTGCCCCGCAGACCATTTCTTTCTTTCTTTTTTTTTCTTGAATTTATTGGGATGACATTAGTTAATAAAATTATGTAGGATTCAGGTATATAATTCTGTAGTACATCATCTGTAAATTGTATTATGTGTTCACCACCCTAAGTCAAGTCTCCTTCCATCACCATTTATCCCCCTCAGCAGACCACTTCTTAGTCCTCACTTGGGTTACCAAACGTTCTTGGCTGATTTTTAGACAAAATAATTTTTGATGAAAACAAACTCTTCCAGTGAGGTCTTTGGTAAAATTGAGAAATATCAACATCACGTATTCTCAGAGGAGATGTTATTTTAATGAAACTTGTTTAACTTTCTTAAAAGGAAACCGTAATAAATGTAGGCTTGTGCTAAGTCATACTAACAGATTTCAGTGATACATTTAGTCAGTATTTCTTTTTTTTAAAAAAATATTTTTCTTTATTGATTTTATAGAGAGAAGAAGGGATAGCGACAGAGATAGAAACATCGATGAGAGAGGACATTGATTGGCCACCTCCTGCATGCCCCCCACTGGGGATTGGGCCCACAACCTGGGCATGTGCCCTCACCGGGAATTGAACTGGTGACCTCTTAGTGGATGGGCCAGTGCTCAACCACTGAGCCACACCAACTGGGAAATATTTCTTTTTTTTAGAAAAAAATGTTTTTATTGATTTTTGAGAGAGAGAGAGAGAGAGAGAGAGAGAGAGGAAGGAAGGGGGGGGGAGAAACATTGATCAGCTGCTTCTACATGCATCCCGACTGGGGATTGAGCTCGAACCCTGGCGCGTGCCCTGAAGGAACCAAACGGGCAACCTTTTGGTACACAGGACACCACCAACCAACTGAGCCACACTGGCCAGGGCTAGTCCATGTTTCTTATAGTAATATCAGTGATATGAATTCATGCCCCACTAGCTCCATGTCACCCCCATGGAAGATTGTTCATTCCTTTATAGCCAGTGCCTAGACCCGAGCCTGACACATAATTGGCATTCAGCAAATACCTTGTTGATGAATGAACTGAGGACCCTAATTTTCTGGAACCTAGTTTGTATTTACAGCCACAAGAAGTATGTATTGGAAAATTCACTGTCAAAGGAACACTAGTGATAAAGAAATGGAAGGAAGAGCAGGACAGAGAAATTCTGTTGTTCTTACCTATTAAGCAGAGCACAGGGTTTGTGGGGGCTTGAGGTCTGTGCTGCCCAGTCTCCAGGTCAGTGGAGGGTTGAGGGCAGGGCTCTGGCCCTGTGGGAGTGAGAGAGGAGGCTCTTCAGCTCAGCCACGAGTGATCTCCTTTCATCTCTTTTAAATTCTCATGAAATTGCACTGTTGGCTTCTTTAGGTGTGTCTGCTGTAACTAGATCATTTGGGGGAATGTTTAAGTGATTTCCATGTACAGTAATAGGAAAATTATTCATTAATAATCTGAGCAACGTTACTAGCACTTCCCATAGGCTAGGCTGTACACTAAAAGTTTTATGTATTTAATTCTTGTAACTACCAAAGTGTTGTTGCTGTGATGGTTATCCCATTTTACAGATGAGAAAACTAAGGCCTAGCAGTTGGTTAATGCCCTGCAAAAGCCACTAGCTGCTCGGGTGAGGCCTTCATTCCATCGTGTCTCTGACTCTAGAGCCATGCTGTTGAGTGGCAACTTGTCTTCTTCTGGAAAATATGAGATATTCTAGTTTTTAATCCAAATGTTGGAGAGCCCTGTGGTACAGTCATTACCATTAAAATTTCTCTTGAATTTAAATTTTTAATGGTTTTTCAGAGGAGTGGTAGTTACTGGTAATTCATAAAGACTAGTTTTATGTTGGCATCTTTTATTCTCATTTACCTAAACTTAAAAGTACTTGTATTTATGGGGTTTTCTTGTTCATATAAAGAATTTACCTATTTTAGCTGAATACCTAACATTGTTCTGTTCTTAATCAGAAGTCAATAAGAATTTCCTAAATGGATTTATTTATTAGAAACTTATGTATATTTTTAAGAGGTTAGAAGGTTAAGTTTAGTAAACTAATATTAAGGAGACTCCATAATCTTTCTTGCCCATCTTCATTTTTGAAGGTTGGCTTGGGGTTTCCAGGTAACTGTTACCTGTAAGCCCCTTATGGAGAGGAGTAATTTTAGCTAGTGCTCCAGGCCTCACACTTGCTCATTAGCTCTTCCATAAATGTTTCTGATTGGCTGATTCAGTCTCATTGCCTGGGAAGTTAGGGTTTAAAATTGCAGTTCCACGGTCCCAGTGCTTCTTCGTCGTGCATTTACTTTTGTTTCAAATTAATGGGACAAAAGCTGAATAAGGAATTTGTGTGGTCTAAAGAGTAGCACCATTGTTTGAGCTGGAAACTTGAACGTTGTGATCATTGGTACATGACCCTTGATTACCTACTTTTGAAAATGATTTTGTGCTCTAAGTATGGAAGTATACTAGGGACTTTTAGAACAAAAATGTAATTATTGTGTAACTTTTTTTATTGCAGTGGGCAGGCTTGGCTGAACTGAGAACTGCTGAAGCAAGGCAGATAGCGTGTGATGAACTGTTCACAAATGAAGAGGAAGAATATAGCCTTTATGAAGCTGTAAAATTTTTAATGCTACACAGAGCCATTGAACTATATGATGATAAAGAGAAGGGAAAGGAAGTCCCATTTTTCTCTGTGCTTTTGTTTGCTCGGGACACATCCAGCAACCCTGGACAGCTACTGAGGAACCATCTAAACCAGGTGGGACACACTGGTGGCCTTGAACAGGTGAGTTACACCTTGGAAGTATATTATCCCAAAACACCAGCGTTAATCATCAAACATTATCTCACAGTTTTTTTGGGGTCAGGAATTTTGAAGCGGCTGGGTGGTTCTGGCTTGGGGTCTCAGGTGGTTGCAATCATCCAAGGACTGGACTGGGGCTGGAGGATCCACGTCCAACATGGCACACTCACCTGGCTGCGTGAGTGTCCTCACAGCATGGCAGCTGGCTTCTCTCAGAAAGTAATTCAAGAAGAGAGTGAGGAAGAAGCCACAATGCCTTTTATGATCCAATCTTAGAAGTCACACCCCATCACTTACACCATTATTATATGTGTTAGCAAGTCACCAAGTCCACTCAGCCTGGGCTTTCTTCTGTAGGGCAGTGGATTGGATCAGTACCTTTGGCTCTGGTAGTCTCCAAAAAAAGGGTCATCTAAAGGGTCTTGTTTAGTCTTGGCAGCTGTAGCTGTATTAGCTAGCATCCTTTAAAATAGAAATGGAGTCACCTTAGCCTGTAGAGCCCAGCCTGCCTTGGATCTTTTACAGATATGCTAAGTTTGGAGTTTTATACAGAGACCCAGTGCAGTACTGTCCCATGAACCAACAGTTGACTCACTTTGCACTGTCTATCTTTGGTGAGTTCATTATGTGCCCTAAAAAGAGTAAGTCTTTTTTTAGTGGAATAGACAACCACTAAAGTAATATTAAGGCTGTCTTTCCAGAGTGCTGCCTTCCTGCTTCCATGACTGACTCTGTGGCTTGCCTTTTCCTGATCTGCAGGAAAGAGCAAAGATGATGGTCATGCTGGGTCAGGCAGGATTAAAGATAGTTATTTTTAAAAATTGTCTGTACTTGTAATTAGGTAGCATGTACCTTGCAGTGAAAAGCCGGTAGAGCATGTTTTGCTTATTAGACTGAAGTTTGTCCTTTCTGGGTCTCCACAAGGTCTGCTGTAATGGAGAGTACAGTTTTTAAATACAGCTTTTTTTCTTAGATATAATTTACCTGTCATAAAATTTACTATTTTAAAGTGTGCAGCTCAATAGTTTTTAGCATGTTTCAGAGTTTTGCAGCCATCACAACAGTCTAATTTTAGGTTATTTTATCACCCCTAAAAGAAACCTCATACCCATTAGTACTCACCCCTCGTTCTTCCCAGTCCTAGGCAGCCACTGGTGTACCTTCTGTCACCACAGATTTGTCTGTTACGGACATTTCACAGAAACAGAATCATACTGTGGTCTTTTGTGACCAGTTTCTTTCACAGCCTAATGTTGTCAAGGTCCATGCATAGTGTGTCCTGTGTTAGTTCTTCATGCCTTTTTATTGACAAATACTAATTCCATTCTATGGATGTATCACATTTTATTCACCCATTCAGCAGTTGATGAGTATTTGGGTCATTTCCGTTTTTAGCTATTATGAATAATCCTGCTATGAACAGTCATGTACACGTTCTTTGTGTGAATGTATGTTTTCAGTTCTCTCGGTTATATACTTAGGAGTGGAACTGCTGGTCATATAGCAATTCTTTGTTTAAAAGTTTGAGGAACTGCCAGACTGTTTTTTAAAGCAGCTGTATCATTTGTCATTCCTGCCAGCAGTGTTTTAGTGTCCCATTTCTCCACCTCTTTGCCACACTTTGTTATTGAGGTGAAGCTCATGTAACATACGAGTAACCATTTTAAAGTGTACAGCTCAGTGGCCTTTAGTACATTTATAATGTTGTGTGACCACCACCTATATCAAATTCCAAAATATTTTACTGCCCCAAAAGAAAAACACATCCCTGGTAAGCAGCCACTCCCCCGCATCATGTCTTTTTGATCATAGCCGTTCTAGAGGGTATGAAGTGGTATTTCACTGTGAGTTTGATTTCCATTCCCCTGATGACTTTACATGTGCATAGTGGCCATTTGCATGTCTTCTTTGGAGAACTGTCTATTCGGATCCTTTGCTCAATTTTTAAATGGTCATTTGTTCTTTTTTTATTGTTGAGTTGTAAGAGCTCTTTATAAATTCTGGTTACAAGTTCCTCATCAGATATATGGTCCATTCTAGTGATCTGCTCGTCTGTAACAATCATATGAAAGAGGACTGGGGCTGAGCCCATGAGAGGAAGAAAGGTTTGGCCTAGACGTGCTGTGCACAGCCTGGGACACCTGGATAGAGCAGGTGGTAAGCAGCATGGTTCAGGGTGGCTGCCTCCACTTACCTGTTTGCTCTCCCCCACCTTTAGATTGAAATGTTTCTTCTTGCCTATGCCGTGCGCCACACCATCCAGGTATACCGGCTCTCCAAATACAGCACTGAAGAGTTCATCACGGTCTACCCAACAGACCCACCCAGGGACTGGCCGGTGGTGACCCTGATAGCCGAGGATGATCGGCACTACAACATCCCCGTCAGAGTGTGTGAAGAAACGAGTCTGTGACAGACGTGCACTCGGACAGCCTGACGATGGGGCCAAGGTGTGCAGGCAGCTCCTGGGCTCGGGCCTCAGCCTGCTGGTCTTAGATGAACTATGCGAACTCTTGGACCCTGTGAGCCACGCTGGCCTGGGATGTTCTGAAGACTAGCTTTTGATGATAAGAGTTAACCAAGTTTCCACCCTCATTTATGATGCAAAATGTTTTAGTGGGACCCTTCAGAGCATACCTGTTGGAAGGTGCAAACTACATCTTTTCCATAAAACAAATACTTCTGTGTCAGGAGACTCATTTTGGAGAGGAATATGTTCTTTATATCTCAAATCAAACTTTCTCTAATAGTAAACTGGCTTTCAGTTGTTTTTTTTTTGAAAGATAGTGATTTGTTTTATTTTGTTGGTAATGGGTCTCTGTGGTACCTATGCAGTTTGCTTATGCAGTATAATTCCGGGATGGAGTCTGCTAATGGCCCAGTCTTAACATCCTCTGATAGTCTCATCAAGCAGTGGCTTGAATTTACATGCTAATTACAGCTCTCCTAAACATATTATTTAATAGAAAATTAAGAATTAGGTCCAAAAGGCTGGAGGCAATGGCACCTGGAAATCCTTGTTCTTCGGGGACATTTTAGGTGTTTGAGGCCGCAGGCGCACCAGGCCTGGTACGAGGTGCAGGTGGTGCGCTGTGAGCCGAGTGAGTGCTGCTTGTAGTTGAGCTGTAATGTTGGGGACTGTTTATAATTCTGCAGCCCATAGATGCACCATTATTGTCAGAACAGAGCTCAAATTGACCAGCTTTTTTAGAGGAGGAAAGCAAGACCAAGTGGCTGCAGGCACTCGTCTGAGTTCAGGGGTGGGATGATCTGGATCCAGGTCTTCCTGTGCCCTTTTCGTGCTACCCTTTTAGAGGGTTTCTATCGCCAAATTCATCTGCTGGTAGGGGACAAACAACAGCGGAGTGTCTAAGGTTTTTCATGAGCCAATTTAAGCAGAAGTGTATACTAAAGCAGAGTATAAAAGTATGGCCAAGCTGCACCTGCCCTTGATTTATTTGGAAAGCCTGAGGGAGGCATTGTTCCCCACCATGAGCCATTGCCTGCATGATCACAGGCTAGTGTGGTGACCAGGTGGTGGTTACGGGGCAGCCTCGCTGAGCATGGTCTGCGTCATGGCCTGAATCATCCACGTGAGGCATGGACTGTACACTGTTCACAGTAACCAGATGTGTTGATCTTTAAGGTTGTATCAGCAGCTCTTGAATTGGCCCAGCATTTGAGGAAGTGGTGGTACCCTGAAGTACTAAGCTTCTTTTTAGAATAACTTAACTCTTCAGTCCAATTTATTAACGTTTATAAGCTCTCTGATCTGTTTTTTTTTTTTTTTTTTTTATCAGAGGAGGCAAACCTCTTTTGAAGATCTAAGTTTTGCTTTCACTTAAAATTCATAGTTGGGAAAACTCAGAGGCCACACAAAACTGTGCAGACGGTTACATTAGTATATTCCCCGTTACCTCATCAGTAGTAGTCACCACATTCTGGAAGATGCTAATTCAGAGAATCAAATTCTGCTCTAATGTGTGTGGATTAGAGAGGCTTGTGTTTTTCACTGTGAAATGCAATGGTGCCTCAGATAGGAGGTGCCTAGAAGCCAAAATCAAGTAATAATAATGACTTCTTGTTGGTTTTGATACTCATTTAATATTTGTAACATAACAACAAATAAGTACTCCTCATTCTTGGATATTTTTAAAAGTGTAACTTCAAGTGTTTAGGTTGAACAAGGCAGTAGGAGACAGTGTTCATCTGACCATTTCTTCATGCCCATTATTGAATTTAATGACACTCATCTATTTTTGAATTTTGAGAATAATCTAATCTCAGTGAACTTGAACTAGACTTCTGGGCAACTTAATTGTTTACATTTTCTACTTTTTTCTTGTTCCTATGTATGATATTGTTAGAGTGTGTGCAGAAATTGTGGTGTTAACCACCATACTGATTGAAATTCAGAAGGATGAGTTTAACTTGTTCTCTGTCCAAGGCCTTAGTGGATTCTGCTCTCAGACTGTCGTTCAGGCTTAGCGGGATCCTAGCATGAGAGAAGCAAAGCTGCCAATAAAACAGTACCTCAGGAAATACAGATGATCGGCCAACTTCAAAAATAATATTTCTTTGTTACAACATGCAACTTCAGTTACCTGGAGTCCCAATTCCATTTCTCATTCCTGGTCTTGGTCTGGTCAGGTGACATGAGCAGAACAGAAATTGAATTGAGACCAAAATGGATTCAAGAGGATAATTACTTAGAGGGATATAGAAAATGATAAAGTGTCTAGAAGGAATGTTAGTGGGAACTACATTGTGCTTCCTTTCAAGTTTATTGCAAGAGTTCAGAGGTTTTGGACCCTGTGATTTTGGCAGAAAGGTGATGTCCACCTTAAGCAGGCATGACTTACACCTTTGAGCTCATTTAAGGTGTAATTCTAGGGTGGAGTCTGTTAATGGCACAGTCTTAACATCCTCTGATGGTCTTGTTGAGCAGTGGTTTGGGGAAGAAAACTTCCGCCTAACAAGTTCCATGGAACTAGCATTGCTCCTTCAGATCTTGCTCTGGTTCCCTCACCTGCATACACAGCACCTGGTCATTCCACCCGAACATGTGGGACGCCATGGCAGCCACTGAGGAAGAGGCCAGGGTGTGGTCTTTCACGTTTGATAGGCATAGGTGCAATTCGATCTGAAATGTTGGCGGTTTCTCTTCCTTCAAATACAGCATATCTGATGTTTTAAATGCACAGAACAAGACTGACCCTGTTTCTTTTATATAGCCATTTACACTTTTACTATACTGTTACATATTCAGTTAATGTCTGGAGACATTTTTCTTTGATTAAGGAGAATAGACATTGCCTTTGTATTCTTTCATTAGGCTTTTTCCCTTCAGTTCTAGAGTTTATCAGGTAAAATCTCAGGCCACGAGAGTCTAACACCTCTGATGGGAGGAACGACCTTTGTGGGTTTTGAGCTTGTTTTGTTTTTCTTTCTAAAGAGGCTGTGTTATTCCTCCTGCTCTCATCCTCACCCAAGGTGCTGTTTTCCTTGAGAGTTTGTAGTTTAGTGTTTGAAGATCTTCTAGACCATGACTGGGAAGTGCTGCTGTATTGTATTTAATTACCTCGCACCCTTTCCATCTGGCATTCATGTAGGACTTCAGTAGACTTCCTGGCCGCGTCTCCTCTTTGACGTTAAAATAAAGGTAGATTATCTTCTTTTCTTTCTTTCTTAAGCAACACTTTGCAGGTACTCTCCCCTTGAAAGCCAGAAAGTATAAACCTCCAGGGACTCTCACTTATAGGCCTACATAAAAATAAATGCCTTTATAAAAAGATCTGTGACTACTGTGAAGTGAATCTGAAATGTGTGTGAAAGGCCTGGAGTCCCCAAATAGTTTAGCAGAAGCAGGGCACTATGTCAAGTAATTTAAAAATGGCCCGAGGAACTGTAAGAAGTGAACTGAAGACGAAGGACTGATTTTAGATGAAAAAATGCCACTTAGAAATGAAACAACAGATTCCCCACAGACCTCCTAGGCCTATGTTATGAAAAGAAAAAGATCTGAAAGAGTGGAAGGACTTATGTGTGTAGATTCTGCAAATTCCTTTTTCTAAAGTTTATTAAGTCCCCATGTAACAGAAGTATAACATTTAATGCTTAATGCTTTTGAGAAACCTCATTGGTGATCTCTTCTGAGGGGACGGAGAGACCAGGGAGCCAGTGCTGAGTTGTACAGAGAATAAAGACAGGGGCACCTCTTTTTGATGCTTATATAATTTCGTTTATAACCTGGAGCCATGAAAAGCACAAAACTAAACCGGTTTGACCACTCAGCACCCTGGTGACAGTAGTATCAGGGGGTAAGGTGAGCTCACTGTGCCTCAGGGGCGTGTGTGCTCCATGCATTCATGCATGTGCATGTGTGCGAGCGTGCCTGTGCTGGTCTGTAGTCGCGTCATGACTGTCTTCTGTGCAGGAGGCCCCACAGCAGGGGGCCCAAGCGGAACTGAGTAGGTGGAGGGGAGCTGTCCCATTTGTATTTTTTTCATGGTAAATAAAAATTTATGACTTGGAATGGTGGAATGGGTTAACATGTATACTTAAACTATGCAGAGTAGCCATTAAGTCTGGAACTAAATTGTATTGAAATGTCATATCAACAAACCATTAATTGTATATGTCTCTGTTCCCAGGCCTTCTGGCCACCTATATATTTAAATATTTCGAATGCTTATTAATAGCCAGAGCTCTTAATGGAGAACACTGACTGAAGTTTTAGCTCAGTCTTACTGACTTCTTGGTGTAAGTCTGGGCCAGGGATGAATCTGCCAAAACCTGGATGATGCAAGGAAACTTCCGGGGCTCGAAACAGCACAGTGGGCAGTTCCCCAGTGCTTGAACTTCATCATGAACTTCAGAGTAATTTTGTATTTATTTAATTGTATTGAACAATGCCTTCACTTAAACGGTGCTAACATACGGTGCCCTCCTTTTCAGGAGCCACAGTCCAGGCGTAACCTCACTTCTGAGTGTAGGTTTGGGGACGAGGCCAAAATGAATGCGGCTAAGGAGTTACCTGCTCCTTTCCAGTGCTTTCATACAAATGTTTTGGTATTGTCACTTGCACTGTGGCCATTTCTAATTTTCTGTCATGTGAGTTTGGAGAGGAAATGATCCGGACCTTTGCCCTGGCGGTGTTGTTTCCCCTTTGCAGGCTGGGCTGGGAAGGGAGAGACCAGCAGGGACCTTGGTGTGAACCTGGCCCTGCTCAGCTTGGCTTGTTCAGCCAAGTCTGTTTATACTGTAAAATGTTAACAATTGTAAGTAGATATTCCTGCTCTGAGAAGCAGGCCCCAGACTCGGGTCAGTTTGGGGCCTGGCCTCCCTCCCGCATCTGCAGCCGGCACACCAAGCTCAGGGGCGCAAGTTTCCTCTGGGACTTGTCTCATCTTCACAGTCAGAGGCCCAGAGGACTCGGGGCTTTGCTGCAAATCCCCTTTAGCAAACCTGGCCGCTGAGGGTTGTAAGACAACTAAAAATAAACAGTAAATAAAAACTCAGAAGCCTGGCTGTGTTGCTGTGGTTCACTGCCTGCCTTTGAGGACTTCGGGAGATTGGGGTCCCATGCTGTAACTTTCCAGTATCCCCAAGACAGGCCTACGATGCCCAATGATTTTACAGTGTTGAACCCATAGGAAGTTCTCCTTCCAAATTAGGTGCCTGGTTCTGGACTTGGGTCTGGGTTCAATAGCAGTTCAATAACCCGCTATTGGGGTGAGCTCAGGCCAGTTACTTGACCTGTCTCCATCTGTCTTCATCCCTTGAAGTGCTTGAGGTGCAAGCACTTGAGAGACTTTGAGGACGGCCCCCTAGGCCTGCAAGGCAGGGCTGCAGCCATGATCCAGGCCGAGCTTTTTGGGTGTTTGCCAAGGAGAGGCCTGTGGTCCGAGCAACATTCTTAGGTGCTCAGAACCATCCAGACTAATGGAAATGCACCCAGAAGTGCGATAACAAGAACTGTCATTGCCTGTGAATCGGATGACACTGAAAGAAGTGAATGATCTGAAATGGGGGAAGACAGTAGGCTGTATCTCGGGGGTACAGAGGGAAAGATGAGCCGGCAGAGACCTGCCTGCCTGTTAGTGGAAGAACCACTGAGTCCGAGAGTCTTTGCAAACTGGTGCTGGGCTCCTGAGAACCCGTGGTTGGGGCTGGGTGTCGGTCAGAAAGCAGTGTCAGCTTGGTAATGGGAGCAAAAAGACCTTCCTGCGATAAACAGCACCAACAAACTGTCTTCCCCTCCTCTGCCCATTCAGGCGGGTTAGTAAACTGTCAGCCATAAACCTACTTGCCCTCTGCTTGTCCGAATCAGGGTGTTCTTAGTTCCGAGGGCAGTGTTTCTGGCAGTTCTTCATGGTCTCCCCCAAACCTAGGAAGTGGAAAATGGGGATCTAAGCTGTGGGTCCTATGGAAGCTCTTAGGAATTTTACAGCCACCAAATTGTCAGGAAAATCCCCACTGCGTTACATGTGTGTGAGATGAGTATACAGTGCATGTCCACTTACTATCTCTGTCTTGCTCGAAGTCTGGGCATTCTTTCTGCACATCCTCCGAATTGTCTTCCTACCCCATGCTATTGGAGATTGAGTTCTTGGGGTGCCATGGGGGAAGGAATTTCCTGAGGCCCCTGTGGGAGGATGGGGTACTGTGGAAAGCTTTATTGATGATGCAGAATTAAGGGGGTTCCCTTTAAGATCCCATCTCCTCCCCGCCATGGAAGAAGCCTAGTCTGGTCTTCGGCA